AGAGAGCCAGATGAATAAGAACATCATCACTCTGCTTCCAAGCTATGGGTGTAGTGAACCAGTTATGCCAAGTTTTTATAGCAATAATAAGCCCTACTTTGAAACCAAGAGTCAAAATAAACCCTTTCTCCTTGAGGCTGCCTTTGTCAGGGCGCTTGGTCACAGCAGTAAACTCAGCCCCTAATACATGATGCGTGGAAACAGTGGACCAGGGGACTGCCTTCAGTCTGCTGCTCATATAATACACAGACCAAGTCTGCCTAACAAAGAGAAACGTTTCGGGACACTAAAGAACAATCATAAAGAAAATAGTCTTTCAGGTTCAAAAAGGAATCCAAGAGGGAGCTGGAAGACACCATGAACACAAAGGGGCAGTAGGGGAACTCGTGTGAGCATGACAGTGTTGATATGGGTGAGAACGTGGGGCTGCTAGCTGGACATGCCGTGACTGTAGCATGTGGCTCCTGCTAAATTCTTTTCAGGCTTCCCTGGGTTGAATCTGATGGGGAAGCTGATTGGGTAATTCTGGAACCAGGGAACCATGGTCTACTTTTCAGGCATTAGGGTGGGGAGGACAGAAAGGTGAAAATGTCACCAGGAAACCTTGCCATTTCTTCTCTGCTGAAAGCAAGCAGTGGCACAATGGGAGTGAGGTGGAGGGGGATTTCAACCCAGGGCTAGGAAAACGACGCCTGTTCACAACCAACTCTACAGTGTCTGTTCTGTTGGGATGGGTGGTCTTTGTAATAAATGAGGATTATCATCCAAGATTTACCGATGTCTTTCCATGTGCCACACATTTAAATTCAGCAGTTGATTAAATCACCATAGCCTTTTCATCTTAGTCCTGTTTTTTTCACAGATAGAGAACCCAAGCCAAGGGAGATGGCTTCTCCAAGGTCACAGAACTAGTGAGTGGCAAGATCATATTACAAAAGTAATCAGATCTGGAAGAATCCAAGCCCTGTGTCCCTAAATACTACTCTATAGCATTTCACAGGAGGACCTGGATGTCTGTGCCCATGTCTAGTCTAGGGAATCTGAAGGGAACCATTTGGTAGAATCTCTTTATCACTAAAAAGGGGGTCATACCCATGACTAGTAACTTGAGGCAATTTTATAGACTAATAAATGAAAAATGGTATTTGATTCAAGGGAGTTTCATGACAGATATTTCCCTCTATTCTTACTTTTTTCCTCATGTCAAGGATAACCCCTTTCAAACATCGGCTATGTCACCAAGCATTTGCTTTTTCCCCGCTTGATTGGGCACCATGTTGTTGACCTGGAATTCTTCTGTGTATCTGTAAACTATAAATCATGACCCACTGAGGAGTCACTAAATCAAGTCAATCATCTATGATCATCACACAGAATGGAAAAAAAAATGAAGTACACTATATATAAACTATTTAGCGACAAAGTTCTTTTATCTTTATGCACGCTTCTATTTACAGGGCCAGAAGAAAAGAATGAATGCCCTTCATTCTTTGGGTCATAATACTCAAAAGTTTCCAAAATAGCAACAAAAGCATTGTACATTAGAAAGCAGCCAATATTCCAGAGGTTCCTCTGGCTACCCACAGTCTTTAGATATTATAATACATTTAACTATCTTTCCCTGGTTGCCACTAGATAGTGAGTTTCCTATTGGCAGGAAACATGGTTCCAGTTTCTCTGCTCTTTTCTCTGAGTGGTCAAGCACCAACACATGGCCATTTCTAATGGGTGCTTGTGTTTTGCAAGAAGACTGTGTGTTGTTGGGAGGGGGAGAGAAAGAGAGAGAGTGTGTGTCTAAGGTAGAGTAGAAGTTCCTAGATCAAAATTTTGTGAACTTTATATGTATAATATCAGTGAAAGTAACATAAGTCTTGTGTGACCCCAAAAGCAGGGTGCTTGAATTTTACTTCTCTGTTAACCAACTCACCCAGCTCAGCATCCAACACAGCACTGACTGGAACAGACCGGTTACAGCTCAAACGCTCCCAACAGCTGGAACCTCTGAGCGACCACTGAGGAAGGTGGAATAAAGTGGGGGAGGGACCAGGACGAGTGGGAAAGTTGACTGTCATGGCAGCTGGAGACCCCAGGCCAGCGTGTTTTCTTTTGGGTCCTCACAGCAGATCTGGTGAGGGCCGTTTCCTTCTAGCCTTTAGAGTACACAGGGGTAAGCAAGATGAGAAAAAGAATATAGCCTAAGATGTTATTTCCGGAGTAGAGAGACAGGCTCAGCACCTTATACTCATACAGTCGAGAAACCCTGCTACTCATTTATTTTGAGAGAGTGAGTAGTTGTCGTTCTAAAATAATCACAGACAAATTTGGTACAGTTCCTGTTTGCATGCTCCAGATACAGCAAGCGTCCCTAGGGACTATTTTTTGGAAAGGACTCCGTTTGGGCTTTGCTGGTCCATTTCACATCCGCGCTTCCCTTGCTGGTCTATTTTACCACACCGTGCAAGAACAAGGCCAGGGGCTCGGATGAGGTGTGGTCCTAGGCTCTTACTCTGTGTGTGACTTTTATTTCTTCTCCTCTCTGTCTCAGTATCATTTAGATGCTGAAGTCAGCTCTGGAGGTACTACATGATGGATTTGGGGAGACCAAATACCACATTTTTATATTAGAGAGATGTCCTCTGGGGAATTTCATGTGGGAAGTCAAATGTTCCTGGGCCAAATTTTAAAAGTTCCCCCTTTGGAAACTTCCTATCAGTTTGTTCCCAGTTTTCCTGCATGTTATACTTTGTTGACCATTTCTCAGCATGGAGATTTGATTCTAACCAATAAGACTTTCAAATATCTTTTGATTTTGTGTTATAACCTTTGTTTAATTTCCACAACTTAAAAACTTTTAACTTAGATATTTTCATTCAATTTTCTTACTGTGTTAATGGTATTTTCATGAAACCTGATTTTTAATGACAACAACATGGGTGATTTTTCCTTGCAGTTTGAGTCAATAAAACCATTGACTGATCTGTCTGGGTATTGTTATTCCAACTATTTTTTCCCCAAAGTAAGACATTTCAAGATTTTTCAAAATAATTTTTATCATGAAAACTGTTAGGAATATTTTCTAACAGAGCCTCTCCGCCGACGCAAAGAATTCCAATCAGACCAGATTTAACCAAATTAAATGCCTGTGTTTAATAGACAGTGGTCCTGGGTGGCCGGGAGCATGCCAGGGGGAAAGACAGAGGAAGCGCACATGCAAACTCAAAACCTTCTCTGGACAGCCTCATAAAAACTCTGTAGGAGGGATCAGTGCTTGGCAGGCTGGGAGTTGGAGTCTGGACCAACAAAAATCAGTAATACAATACAATATGGAGAAGAGAAACAGATACAAATTGGCTTATATCACATTTGCAATGTCACTACAAGATATTTTCTAAGGTGGTTCTCCATATTTCCTTCCATGGACAATAAAATACTTCAAAACAATCTAGAATACAGTTGGCTAATTATAGAAGATTAACAGTCTACTAGATATCTATCTATCTATCTATCTATCTATCTATCTATCTATCTATCTACCTACCTACCTACCTACCTACCTACCTACCTACCTACCTAATCTATCATCTATCATGTGTTTTTAAGTCTCAAAAGGCCTGAGGAATGGAAACTCCTCTAAATAAGCTGGAATTCTATTATGGCCAAGAGTATCTAGCACATTAAGGCCCCTGAGCAGCTGCCATCTTTTTCCGGTCTTCTGTTTTCTCCCTGCATGTCTAGCACACAGAAAAGAGAGCTATACAGCTATTTGGAATTCAAGACAAACCAGCTCAAATGCATCACTAGGTAGATGGATCATGGGATTCTTGCTGGAAAAGAAAGTGAAATTTTGATGAGGAGGATGTGGCCTTGGTTGTCAGTCAGCTCCTGGGCCAGGGCTCACAGTGGACATCCAAAGAACGATGGCCTGATTCCTGCACACAGGCTTCCATTCATACTGAAGTTAGGGGACACTTTCCCTCTCAGCTGTCAGTATCTGTATTGTTTATTAAATAATACGAAATGGCTCAGTGGGCAAAAGAGCTTACAGTCTAGCCTAAAGGCCATAGTTAAGAACCCACATGATAGAAGGGCATGTACATACATACACACACAAATAGATGATATTGAGATGCAATCCAGGAGCAGGAACTAGTAAGTGGATCGTGTTACACTTGAGTGTCTATATAGCAGACTCGAGACGTTTCCACTGGGTTAAAATACTGACAGGTATTTTGAGTTCACTCACTCTGTAGCCAAGACTGGATTGAACTTACTATATATCTCCAGGCTGGTCTTGAGCTTGTGGTGGTCTCCTTGCCTCCGTCTAAGTACTGAGATAATGGGTGTGAGTCACCACACCTTGCTAATTAATGAGTTTCAGGCAGGGAACCATGAATTTGTATAGTCTGAGAATCAACTGATATTGACATTCTACTGAAGAAAGTATTTCTGCCAAAACTTTCAGAAAAACAACCAATGCACATTATTGGTTGACAGAACAGCCAATTTCCAATAAATGGACGAAAGTTAACGCACTCAACATCTGGAGGTCAAGAAGTCATAGGGAACAATCTCTCCCAAGACTGACCGCAAGTCAATGTCCAGAGCTTCAGTCTATACAGTCTAGCTTTGCTATAAGTGAAACCAATGGTATACTTTAATATCTTTTAATATAAAGGAATAATTTGTTAGTTGGGTGTGATGATGTGCACCCGTGTTTCCAGCATGAAGAAAGTTCTAGCATTTGTCAACTTGAGCTACACAGACAGACCACTTTTTTTTTTTTTTTTTTTTTTTACAAGAGAAAAAATTTAAAAGCTAAAACTCGGGAAACATAGCCTAATAACATTTCAAAAATTACTTCAAAATGGTTAAATTCAAGCCATTATGAGCAGAAGTACACTGACAAGCCCAGGCTAGCTGGAACACAGGCCAGGCCCTTTTGTCCCCGTGCCAGTCGCTCCGGGGCGAGTACATCCGAGTCAGGAGTGCTCCGTGCCTACCTGACATACAAGGAGCGTTTCTGATTGGTGCGAAGGGACCCGGACCCGGAGCTCATGCTGTGGTTCATCATCTGCTCGCGTAGGTCATGGATTTTGGCCTCAAATCGGGCGTAATCTGGGAAAGGAGGAAGCAAATGGTTAAGTTTGGCTCTACACCTTCTGAAAATTGGACACGCTCTGTAGCCGGGGCCACCGCTCCCCGCCATTGTTCCTCTTCCAGGCACCAGGCAGGAACTCAACTTCAGAAGAGCGCGTCTGTTTACCAGAGCTTTTTACTCCCAAATTCCCAGGAAGAAAGGGAGAGAGATCAATTCCTTTCCAATGATTACCCAGGAAGCACAAAACCATGGCATTCCCAACTTGCTTGAGAGAAGTTTAAGATTGCTGCATACAACCTTTAAATCAATTTCCCCCATTTCTCACAACTGTCGCGCATCATCCTAACTAGTACAAAATGCATACAATCTATGTTAATCTTACTAGGATTCTCTCAGGCTCGTTTTTATGTGTGTATGTGCATGCAGAAGGTGTGGGGACTGATTGACCTTACACGTAGCCTTGACTGTCCTAAAACTTGCTATGTAAAGCAGATTGGTCTCTGCCTCCTGAGTGCTGGCATTAAAGGTGTGTGCTACCATTCCAGGCTTTCACTACCACATTTAAAAATAATTTGATTTTTTTTCGTTTTTTTCTTCTTCTTTTTTTTTCTTTCCCCGAGACAGGGTTTCTCTGGGTATCTCCGACTGTCCTGGAACTCACTCTGTAGACCAGGTTGGCCTCGAAATTGCAGAGATTTGCTTGCCTCTGCCTCCCTGAGTGCTGGGATTTAACGAGTGTGTCACCAATGCCCAGCTAATAATTTGATTTTAAGAAGCTCCATGAAGCTGACTTTAATTTCAGATCATGTAACATGTACTGATAATTGCAAGATGGCCTTCCCTAAAAGATTTGGCAACAGCTAACAGAATACGCAATTCAGAATGTAAAATACAAAAGTTTGTACTCTTAAGACTAAAAAAGCCCATAATAGTAGGTTAGTAATTTCCGATGCTGAAATATAACCTGGAATTATCAAGATTTGGCAGACTTCCTGTTAATAATTCAGCCCCAAATGGTTAAATAAGCCAAATATAGACTTAATCACATAGTTCATCTAAAATCCATTGACTTTACTCTAAAACACTGCATTTCATTCCAAGGGAAAACAAAATGAGTGTTGGTGTGATATTGTCTGCAGATTTAAGCCACCTTGAGCAAGATGTCTTTCCTTGATACGAGAAGGATCAGCTAACATCTATAATGGACCACCTGGCACCAGGTACGTGTGGGGCTCTGAGGGCATCTCTTTCCTAGGTCATAAGATGAAGCCTACAGATATCATAAAAACTAATTTCAACTATATGAACATAGAATGGAGATGGAAAGGCCTCAGCCTTCTATCACACAAATGTACTTCTCCAAAGCTCATCAGGGGGCGGGGCTGTATGCTGGGAATGTTAGTGGGTATGTCTGAGTGCATGATCACAAACATGCACACTGAACACTGTGCGGAAATAGTTTTTTTCTTCTTTTTGAATAGTATAACAAGGATGGCTAGTTACTTTCTACCAAATCTATAAATATGCATTTCCTTAATACATTCTATTGTTATATGTGTTTACTTAATGAACCCCATGTATTTCGGTGTTAGGCCTCTGAAGGTCTCCATGATATAAATAACCGTGTTACTGTGTGTGCGCACATTATGAGATTCGTCAGTACAGCACCAAAAGTAGAAGTACTGGCCAATACTGTGCCCAGCAACCATATAGTCTCTACTAGCACTTTGTCTTTCTGTTTTAAAAATATGTCATGTTGTGATTCAGGCTGCCGTGTATATGTAGTAGCACAATCTGCCTTGAACTCGTGTTCCTCCTGCCTCAGTCTTCCGAGCGCTAGGATTAGAGGACATGCTCCCACACTGTGAAGGAAAAGCTCACTGGTCTCTGTGGAGACGCAGAGTGAAAGCTAGCAGCCTTCTCAGATCCGTGACCTATGACCACTCTCTGAAGATGAGGTGCTGTGCCTGGTCTCATCTCAGACTCATGCAGACATAGGACTCTCTGCTTCATAACCATGGGGACCGGAAGGTGAAAGAGCAAAACTCTTCCAACTGTACTCTCCCAACATCTGACCGGAAAGACCTCATGCTGTCTGTCCAGCAAGCTATAGGGTTGCCTCTATTACACCATCTTGTCATTGTTTGTGTAGTTTCCCACCGTCATTGGGCTGAGCCCTGTAGCTACCAAGGTTTTTCCCTTCTCCTGGCGATTCGCAGGGCCGTGTGACCTCCGGCTCCCTGGAGACTCTGCACTAGCTCTGGCTTGAGGGGATAACTTAGCAAGAACCTGGTTTTCTTTGTTATGGTGATTCCACTTGTATTCAAGGTTTTAGCAATGGGTCCATAGCCTGGCTCCCCAGCTGATCCTGCTCCAGGCACTGGGAAGACTTTAATCTTCTCCTCCTGCTCCTGGATGGGAGGAGGCCTTGCATTTTCGATCCTTCTAGCCCACTGGTATAAATACCCGACTTGAGTTTAATAAAGTTGCCATTTACTCTGGTAAATGAGCAAAGGTCTCTTTTGTGTGTGTGTGTTTTTTTCAACCCTCAGGACAATCGTCCATTCTCGTGGGCCCGAGTTCGGGAAAGCGAGCAGCCTGGGTCGGGCGTGGGTATCCACTGGAAAGTGCAGACTCTTACAGAGCCCCTTAGGGGAGAACCCACGTCTCACTATAGGGATTCCCTAATTCATGACACGGTGTCTGATGGTCCAGAGGGAATTAACAAGCGGCACACAACACCTTTTCTGAATGACTGATGGGTGAATGAAGAATGAGCTGAATCATTAGATAAATTTGGTTATCAAATGATAGCAAGTAAAAAAAAAGTCAATTTCCAACATTATTTCACAAGAGAAGGAAAGCAGCACACATCTATTGCCTTTTCCAAAAGCAAACGCTCAAGTTTCAGACATTTTTGTCAAATTACAGCCACTTCCAGACCCTTCTGCTGTCTTTATTATTCTCTAGGCAATGTCTGTTCTCTTCAGCTCAGTCATGGCGGGTGGTGGAAACAGTTCTGACACATAACCTACACACAATTAAAACTGACGATAAGCTCTTATAAGGATCATGCTACTCCAGCGTGTATTATGACAGAAGACTTGCCTTATTAATAAAGTTCATTTGCATTGTTATATGGCTCATTAGATACTCCCATTACTTTCTGCTGTCTTCTTATGCTGTTTATCATGTGGTATTGTTCGGTGTGTAAGTGCACCATGACTGTAGCTTATGCTGCCTCTGCCTTATCTAGCCTCCACACTATTCCTGACTTAGCATTTTGACACTCATCTCTATCACAGATCTTGTATTCAAAGGTACCTGTCTTTTACATTTTGAAAGTGAGAACAGAGGTTCACATAATTTAGCCAGTTTGCAAACAATAGGTTTGTAGATACAATGTGGTGGGGTGGGCGAAGTTGCACGCTCACAACTGTATAGTGATAAACCAAGCTTGTGGTTAGAAATGCTTTGGAAATAAGAACATCTATTTGACTGTGAGATGCCAGTCTTTATGTCTTATCAAGGTACTGAAAATCCATTCAGCTAGCTAAAACACGAACAACTAATAGACCTCTTTATTAATCCCGTTTCCTCCTTACGGGCATCCCTTCTGCCCGTGCTCTCCTGCTTTGGGGCATTTTTTAGTCACATTGCTAACATTCTTGCTTGATTCCAAACCTCACAAGAACATCCAACTGAGATTTCTAAAACACGCTAATCTTTACACCCTCTGCCTTGGAGCAAGACAGAACCTGAATGGACTTGCTTCCAGAATGTGACATTACAAGGATACCAAGCCTGACGGTGCTAAGGTTGGCACCACAGTAGAAAGCAATCTGCCCGGCCTTGCTTGCAAAAGGCAGCTGGTGAATGCTGAAATTAAAAATTATTTCATATTTCTTGGGCCTTCTGTAACTAACAATAGCGCACTGAAAACTAACTTCTAAGAGAAAAGTTCGTCGGGGCGTGAAGAAATATCGGCTTCAGGAAACTCCTTTTCCTCTCTGTATGAGAAGCCCAGATACCTTTGTGGGTTTCCCCTCTATATTGAAAGATATCTAAGCCCAACTGCACATGGAAGCAGGGGGACCGTTCAGAGGGAGGAAGGGGATCACATGGAGAGGAGGTGCAAGAAAAAGCCATAAACAGAACAAAGATAACCGTATACGGAAGTGCTGTAATGAAACCCATTATTTTCTAGGCCAACTTAAAAAAATTAAATGAGCAAACCTATGAAGTTCGAAATGAAGTGGATAAAGCCATTAGCAGAGGGAACAGCAATCAATAGTGCACACTGGGACAGAAGGACATTTGTACCTTGAGCCTAGACAGGGGCTGTGAAGGTTTCAGGTTCAAATCGAACCTTTCCCGGCATACTGCTACAGCCAAATGAATCAGTATTGACGAAATGGAAGTCATGCATGGCAGCTCACCAAACTCAGATTTTAGAGAAAAATGTATTCTATAGAAAATGTCCCTAGTGTAGAAGACATATATTAAAAATCACTATGCATTTGAGAAAGTAATGAATCTGATTGTTTCTAACTGTTATCACTCATTTGGGTGTTTACTTATTTTCAATTTTGACGAGATGGTTGATAATATCAGAAAACTTAAGATTTGGAATATGTAGATGATAGCAACACATTCGCCCCGATGTGTACCAGCTATACATCATTAGAAAAGTTATTAACCTTTCTTGGCTCAATTTTCTTACAAGAGAAATGGTAATAATGATGGTGCCTTCCTCAGGAGATGTTGGGAAGAGCCGCAGACAGCTCGCGGATCAGATGCTTGGCTCTTGCTAATCATTGTCACTCTTCGTTTTTATGTGTAATTTACAACCTATTCTTGCTCCTTATTTGCAAACATCGTAATCTCTTTGAGGATCAAGAGTGGAAATTTGTGTCTACTTCTAAAACCCATTGATTCAGCACCTCTCTCCCTATCATGAAGTATGTCTAGTAGGCCAACGAGGAACAAGTTAAAAGTGGCCTCAGTTTGGGATGCT